GTACAATATACTTGAGATAAAGCCTTAGATTTCATGAATTACATGTCATAACTGAATGTCCTTGTTTGTATTTCATGCAGCTGTTATCACAGATCATGACTGCAATAAACTTTTACAGTAATTCCACTGTGCATTTTGGATCCTTGGGTAAAGATAAAAGCTTTTGCTTTTGCTTAAGGTTTGAATGCTTATTGCCTAGGCTATTCACTTTAACAAATGGAAAGAAATTTGAGTAATGAGGCTTTTCCATCTGAAACCTCATTGCCAGGTAGTATTTATGAAATGCTCAGGTACGTATCGGTTAGGGTCAGAATGGACAGTAGACATACAAATATAAAATCACAGGGTCTCACAACATTACAGCTGTGGCAGAGTGATTTGCCAAAGTTCACAGAGACTTGGTTACTCCCAGAGAGCAACTGGTGTTTGTATTTTTGTTGTTGCCCATGAACTCTAGGGACATTGTTCAGCCAAACTTTCAAAGTAATTGGAGCAGAGACCTTGTGCTAGATCCAATCCACTTTCTTCTTGTATGAATAAAATTTATTGGGACACAGCCAAGTCCATTTGTTTATGTTATCTATGGCTGCTTTCATGCTTCAGAGGTAGTTTGACAGAGATAATATGGCTTGTAAAGCCTAAAACATTTTCTAGCCTACCTTTTATAGAAAAAGTTTGCCAATCCCTGGCCTAAAGAGCCATATTTTTTTTTTTTGGTGCACTTCAAGTTGGTTTTGCTTAGCAGCACTTGGGGAAATTTTCCTCTCTTTGTTCATCTTTCCAGCTTCCATCCCTCTTTCTACCTTCGTCCTTCCTCTCATCTTCTCTCTTCTCTGTCCTTTCCTTCCCTCCTTCCTTTCTGCTTCCTTCTTTTCTCTCCTTCCCCGTCCCTCCCTTTCTTCCTTTTTTCTCTTCTCTCTCCTTTTTCTTTAGGGCCAGCAGTTGTTTAGGAAAGGGGTAATATGGGATGATTTGTGAAACAAATAGCTTCATAGGATTAAAAGACAGTTCTTTTATATCAAAGCTGGTGGTCTATTCCCTATCCAATCCCCTATTTTCATAAATGAAAAAATTTAATGAGATATTTCAAACATAAAGAAAAGCACAAAGAATAACAATATAGCAAATGCCTTTATTTGTACCACTCAAATTTTATAGCTCTAAACAATTTATTGCTTTAAAAAAGAAATAAAATATAACTTATTTGCCCCCTCTCTTGATTCCAGTTCTCTTCTAAAAGTGAAAGGCGGCCTTGAAGTTGATATGCATTCTTCTATTTTATATTTTTATATTTTTACTATATATATAAAATGTATGAGAAGCAAGTTTCTGACACCAAATCCAAATCATTTGTCTTTATGTCTCTCTTGTCATCGAAGTCTTTCATCTGTCCAGTACAGATCTCTGTACATCCAGTACAGAATAGATTAAAAGCCAAGATGGATATATACATATATATCTCCACCCACTTATATATCTGTATAGAATATGTTTTAAAATTTCTGCCACACCTTTGAAACTGCAAGGAAAATAACAATGGTTTTTAAGAGAATCTTGTGGGTGGGAAAGGTACCCATAATCCTATAACTCTAATATAAATACTTGCATATTTTGACTTTGCTCATATTATGTGTAACATCACAGTCACAGTGTACACATCAGCTGGAGGTTTAGCTCAGGTAGAGTGCTTGTCTAGCATGTGCAGAGCCCTTGGTTAAATCCCCAGCACTATAAACATACACAGAAGATATACTTTTTTTTTTTGTCTTTCCCCTTCTCTTAGTATCAAGTTGAAACATTTTTTTTAGTTTCCATATTCATAATTATTACATATTGTTGATATCCAATTTTCAACAAGCCCTTTAATAATCGTTGGTGAGCAAAAGACTCTCAAAAGTGGTCACTTTTGGGCAGAGTGATGACTTCTCATTGTGTAACTTTTTACTTTTCAATGTATAAATTTCTGTGCTGTTTTTAAACCACTCATACAAGTTATTTTATTTCTAAAGTTTTATTTGAACAGCAAAAAACCTTTTTTGTTAAAAGATTCTGTTCTCTGAAGAAAATATTCCATGAAAGGTTTCCTTAATTTTCAATGTTGTTTTGAGGATTAAAATAATAAGTGCACTGGAAGCCCTTTGAAAACTGTAAAATTCCCTGGAATTGAAGGGGGGAAAAACCTCTAGTGAATCAGGAAAAAATTGGGGCAGCTGAGAGAACCAAAGACTAATATCAGAGCCCCTGGCTAAAGTGGTTTGCTCAGCTGCAGTCAACTATATAAACTCAGCTATGGTTCTCCTAGGCATTCCTGCTGACTTTTGGGGTTCATAGGGCAGAATTTATCTCTGAAGTTAGTAATAAATCATGGGAGGAAGAATTTGTCCTAGGGTTCATTAATTCACCAGGGAGGTTTTCTTAGAATACTTTATCTGTACTAGACAGAATTAAATAATATGAAAACAAGTTTTTATTAGTGCCACACTACCAAGAAATCTTTATAGATGTAGTTCATAGCATTATCTAGAGGCTGAATATTACTTATTTGTGACCAATGACTGCAAGGCAAATATTAGTGAAGGTATCACAGTGTACCATGCACGTTGTCAAGAAACACTAAAAATTACTCTGGAAATTAAACCAACTGAGAACATTTGTAAGGCAGTAGCCTTACAAATATTGAAATATTTTTCTAGCTCACTTATGCCTATTAGCTAATCTACCAAAAGTGTGTGTGTGTGTTTAATAGCATTCTACTATAATTATTGAACAGGGTCCCTTTAATTTAGATAACTTTGTGCAACTATGTGGAGGCATGGGAGGGAAGGCTGCAACCAGGATTATGAATATTCATCACTATTCCAATTGGTCCCGTGTGCAGAGTCAGGAAGAAGTGGCCATTTAGCAAGACTGGTGTACAGCAGGACCTCTTTCCTCCTCTTGGGCTGCAGCAGAGGGCAGGGTGGAAACCATTGAGGACCAGGGAAGGGAGTGTTTCCTTGACTGCAAGCCTTTCTCACTTTCAGCCACTGAGACTCACAAGCCCCGGGAGTCAAGGAATCCTGCTTTAAATGAGAGGCAAAAAGTTTTGTCCAAGGTTGCTCAGGCAAATACCTAAAATTCAGGTCCTCTGGCCATCAGCCCCGGGGTGGGGGTGGGGTGTCTCTTTCTACCACCTCTTAGCTCTGCCTGTCTTTCTTCACTGGAAATGATGATGATACTATGTCTCCTGGGGTGACAGAATCTGTAGAAGTCTGAGACAACTGGAGCTAAGGAATGGGATTCTCAGAAGGCCCATCTTGGGGAGGATGCCAATTTACTATCTAGAGCAAGTTGATATTAAACCAAATAACAGATTCAGGGGATAGGAAATTCTACTGGGAAGGGTGACTTAGTCCATTTTATGTTTCTATAACAGAATACCTGAGATTGGGTAATTTATAAAGAACAGCGATTTATTTCTTACAGTCTTGGAAACTGGGAAGGCCAAGGGCATAGCACTGGCTTTTTGAGGGCTTTCTTGTGTCATTCCATGGTGAAGGGCATAATTCAGTGAGAGGGAGCTTAAAAACTTGGATCTCTCTGATTCTTCTTAGAAAGCCAGAAATGCCATTACGTGGGCCATGGCCTCATGATTTTATTTAACTGTGTACCTCTCAAAGGCCTCAACTCTAAATACCATCAACATTTGGATTTGAGGATTTCCAACACGCGAAAACTTGAAGGATACATTCAAACCATAGCAGAGGGACAGAAGGGTGTGGTGGGAGATGAGCCCTTGGAGAGCTCTGAGGAGCTGCAATGGGGTGGCAGTGGGGAGGAGACCAGAATAGAGATGAGATGCAAGATTTTAAGTCCAACCTAGTTAGCTTATTCCCCAGGGCTCTGACTGGGCACATTTTGCATGCACTGAAATAGATTTTGTGCAATAAAAAGCTCATGCATTCCATATAGGGGAAGTCTAGTTTCTTCTGCACCTGAAGATTTGAAAAGATTCATCACGATCATCCTTTAATACTTACTACCCTTCCTGGTAGTGCGAATTTTGAAGATGACACGAACCTTTATGTTGGGTCATCCTGGCGCCCTCTGCTGGTGCATATCTGCAACGGCACCGTCTCCCCGGTAGAAGTTCTTTATGAGGCAGCGAAATGAGACGGGGAGGCGATGGAAGAACCCCATCAAGAACATAATTAGTGAGTTCAGGAATGAAGAGGGAATAATTCCCCTAAAAATTATGTGAGGTAATTTAGATAAAAGTCTGCTACATAAAAGGCGCTTGGTTTTCTGGCTGTGTTTGAGCCAAGGTGAACTAGTCCTACTGGGCCGGGGAGATAAAGTTATAACCTTGGTAAAGCTTTTCTCCATTCTGGGTAGGAGTCGAGTTTCTCACTCATGCATCCTCCAGTGCTCAGACATGCTTTTGGGAATTAATCTGATAAACTTGTGTATACTGAGATATAAATGATGGATAATAGCCAAAAGCAATAGTCTACACGTGGATTGAGAGGAAACTCAAGGTGTTAATAGTTGCTCCTTGGCAAAAGAGTTTCATACTTAAAAAGTTTGTGAAGCATCGTGTACCATGTTTGCCTTCTAGGGATTCACAGCACCTGTGTATATTAAAGGTTCAGAAAAGTTGTGTGGCAAAGAAGCTGCCTTATCTTTGTTTATTCCAGCATTTCACAGACCTTTTGGTTAGGAAAGAGGGAGATAGACTTTGTGGAAAGGATCTGGAGATGGGGAGAATGGGAGGAAGGGGAGAGAAGAGGAAGTGAAAAGGATCAGGATGTGATGTGTATACACACCAATTCACCGTGATGAATATATTTATTGTGTATCACAAACATATACCAATAAAAAGGGAAGGACCTTTGGATCCTTTTTATCACGGAAATCAGATTATCATCTTGATAATCTGCTTGGAAACTCAGGAATAGAGCATGAATACTGTGGCTAACTGGCTTCTTTTGCTTCTGATTCTGTCTCTCCTTTCCTTCCAGGCGGACATCTTCTCCGGGGCCATATTCATCAATCTGGCCCTGGGCCTGAACATATACTTGGCCATCATCCTTTTATTGGCAATCACTGCCCTGTACACAATCACAGGTGCGTCCATTCAAATGAGCTAGCAACTGAACCCCAGCTCAGGGTTAGGCATTTGTGAAGGATAAAAGGAAGTAAAATATATGGTTTCTCCTTTTACAGAAGAGAGATACACCCAGGAAAGTTTGAGAGTAGGCATTTACTTGATCTCTACTACAGGTTATATGAGTAATCTCTGAATGCTCCAGTGTTGGCTGGAATTGGCAGGGTGCTTTCTCAAAGGAGCTAGGTAGAGCTTGGTGCTGTGGGTTGTGGAAATAGCATGGCTAAGCTAGGAGAATCAGAGGAATACTGGCTGTGAAGATAAGTGAGAGCAGGGAATGTAAATATGAAGGGGCATAGCATGGGGTTGAAGAAGGGTGAGCAAGCAGACGCATTTGGCTAGAGGAGGATGGTCACTGGGAAGTAGTGTGGGTAAGTTTAGGGTATAAAGCGTGATAATTCAAGTGAAGTAGAAGGACCTTGGAAACCAGAGAGAGGCCTTAGATTTGATGTGTTTGAAACTGGGAGCCAATGTAGGAAGTAGCGGGGGGGGGGAGTGAGAGAGAGAAAGAGAGAGAGAATTTTTAGAGAAGACTTAAGAGGTGGCCAGAGAAACTAGTGCATGAATAAAAATTGGGGGTTGCTTTGTAGAAGTATTACTTTGCCTACTTTGAAAGGGGCAGGATTAGCAATGGAACCTGATACTCAACTGGAGCCCCACATCTTTGAGGACAAGAAAATACTTAGATGGCTTATGAGATAGTGGACATAGAAGGGGCCCTCTGAAATGTGCTAATTTGGTAATGTTCCCAGGCACCTCTCCAGTCAGTTCTGCTTTTCTTTGCCTTCATTTGGAAGATGCCCCCTCTTAGCCATAGAAGAGCCATCTCTTTTGTGCCAGCTACTGGCTTAAAAGGTCACACCAGGTTCTTCCCACGTGGATATAGAGAAACATTCTCCCAAGGACTTGAAAACATTTCTGTGAGAAGTGGAAGCTGGGAACATGGTGAACATCAGATTACTGTAAAAGAATAAGAGAAGGAGGAAAGGAAAGGCAGGTGGGTGACTGAGGGGTGGGAGTGGTTTTCAAAAGGTGTAAGAAAGGCAGGAGGGGACCAGGTTACCTTCCACACGAGGTCAGATATGTTGTCTTTTTGCCTGCTTAGGGGGTCTGGCCGCTGTGATATACACGGACACCTTGCAGACGGCGATCATGCTGGTGGGGTCTTTGATCCTGACTGGGTTTGGTAAGTAGGGCTAGGGCAGACTGAGGAGGTGGGGGGCAGATGTTCAGGGCCCCAGGAAGAGAAAAGCAAGTCCAGCCTCTCCGTGCACCACTAGCCCAGGCAGTGAGCTTAGGCTCACCCCACCCTCCCAAGGCAGAGATCCAGCCCAGATGGGCCATCACTGTGGATGTGAAGGGGCAGCTTCCTCATCCCTAGAGGACTTAGATTGGGGCTGGGTCATACAACACCTGGACTCCCTGCTGTCCTTTCTCTACATCCAGATCACTGGTTCCAGTGTAGGTCTGTGACACCATGCATTCTCTCTTTCAGAGAAACTGGGCAAAAAAAGGATAAGGCTAAATATCCATCAATCAAAATATACTCAAATGTTGTATTTTCAGTCTTTTAAAAAAATTCATTAAATTTATTGGTACATGTAGGTATACACTATGGTGACATTCAGCACTGGGAACTTGTACTTTTACATGATGTATCTTGGTTCTTATTTTTTTCCCCATTCCCCTGCCCTCCCTTCAACCTCTCCACCCCTCCGTATTTACAAAGACTTTGTTTTGGCTTTTTCCTTTTCTCATATTTATTCCTTTCCCTTCTTTCCTTTCCCCTGTATAGCTAAATGGATGCACATCGAGGAGATACTCTTAAGTGAAATAAGTAGGACACACATGTTATATACCCAATAGCTTCTCTGGTGTGAGAAACTGAAAGAGTAAATAAGGATCGAAATGTATAATAGATAATGTGTATATAGTCTTAGAGTATATCTTGATTAGACTATGTCTAGATATAGACTATATCTATATTTGATGTTGTGTCCATTCTTTTATAAATTGTTGATAGGTGATAATTTTCATTTCAGTGCTCTTACTTGACAAAATTTAAAGATAGGCCACTCAGTATTGGGACCTCCTGCCTCCCTATTTTTTGAAATTTTTCTTATCTATGAAATTCTAAAGATAACATTGAAAATCCTAAGTCTTTGGGTTGCTTGTTATGAGATAATATAAAGTGCATTTTATATTTAGGTGCACAAGGCTCTCTGTGTGTCCTGTAAAGATTGTTATCTACTCTCTAGTGCTCATTTTTCCAGGATCTTTCATTTGGTTTTTTCAGTAGGCCTTGGGGCAAGGCGGTGGCTAGAATGACTTATTCAAGGACTACAGTTGAGAGGTGGCAGGGTTCCAGATTCCTCACCCCTTCTTGGTCATCACATTACGCTGCTAGGAGCAGGGGTGGTAGATCTGTGTCCAGGCTCCCAAAGGCCACTGTGTATCTCTCAGCTTGTGTTCTGAGTTCCAAGGACGATGGCTATCAGGAGGGGGTAAAGGAAAAAGTAGAGCCTTTGGATGTGGTCCAAAGCCAAGGTTTTCATTGAAATAATTAAAATACCTTCCCTTTTGTGAAGAAGTGTGTGGTTGGAGCACTTTCACAAGCTATTGCTTTCAATTCTCACAATAAACCCAAGGAGGCTGGGCGGAGTTAATAATCCCATTCTATGAATAAGAAACCTGAGGCCTGGAATGGGAGCATAACTTGTCCAAGACCACACAACATAGGCTTTCTTTGATTGTGGAAACCCCTCAGTTTTTTCAGGCACCCACAGAAGGAACCATTATAAAGAGTTTAAAGTTTTAAAATGTTCATTTTTGTACCAATGTTTTGCAGCTTTTCATGAAGTGGGAGGGTATGAAAGCTTCATGGAAAAGTACATGAAAGCTATTCCAACCATGATTTCTGTTGGAAATGGCACTGCCAAGGAAGAATGCTACACCCCAAGGGCTGACTCCTTCCACATCTTCCGAGATCCCCTCACAGGAGACCTTCCATGGCCTGGGCTTATCTTTGGGATGAGCATTCTTGCCCTGTGGTACTGGTGCACAGATCAGGTAACCAAGCTGTATATGTAGGGTGGGTCTTCTCCATGGCATTACAGGGATTCCTGCCTGTATATGGCTTGTGGAATTGGGGAAGGTCGGGAGGAGTCACACGATCTGTGGGTTGCTGAGTCCTGGGAGTCCCAAGCCAAGGACTGGGGAAGCAGGGATAATAGGAGATGTCATAGGATCTCTAGCCTGCACTGCTCCCACACTGGGCTTCCCCTGGCAGGTCATCGTACAGCGCTGCCTCTCAGCCAAGAACATGTCTCATGTGAAAGCTGGCTGTATCTTGTGTGGATACCTGAAGCTGCTGCCCATGTTCCTCATGGTGATGCCAGGGATGATCAGCCGCATTCTGTACACGGGTAATTTCTTCAGTTGCCCTCATAGGCCACACTTATTTTTTGTTTGTTTGTTTGAGTCTGAGTCATTTCCAAAGTTGTGGTGTGTATGATGTCCTTTATAACTTAATGTCAGAGGATGGCAGCCAGTCTCGAATTGCCCCCTGCTCTGAGCCCCGTTTCCTGGACCATTTCCTTGAAAGTGCCCTGAGCCTTGCACTTTGCTGTCTAAGGTGATGCATTCTTCCTTGATCTTTTTGTGGCCTCTTCAGTATCACCAAGAATCTAAACTGTTTCCTGGAAGGTGAAATAGTGGAGAAGGAGGGAGGGGGGGAGTGGAGAAAGTAAGGAAGGAGGGAAGGAGAGAGCGAGAGAGGCTGCAGGCCCCTAATAAAGATACAGTCATTGGCATACTCCTATAATGGCTCACCTGACATGAGAAAAATATAGCCAGCCCTCTGTATTTATTATTTGCATACCTTTAGATTCACCCAACTGTAGATTAAAAATATTTGAAAAAAATTGTACATATACAGAGGTTGTATGGATGTTTTTCTTATCATTTGTTCCTAAACAACATAGTATGACAACTATTTATATAACATTTATATTGTATTAAGTAATATAAGTACTATAAAGATGATTTAAATTATACAGGAATACAATGCATATGGTATATGCAAGTATTAGGCTATTTTATATAAAGGACTGGAGCATCTGCAGATTTCAGAATCCACTGGAGGGGGTTTCCTGAAACCAATCCCCCATGGACACCAGGGGTCAACCAAAGACCTAACTGACTAGTTCATACTATAATGATGACTATACACATTTATTTATAAAATAGTGCTATAATAATTCAGTGCTAAGTGATATATACTTGTAGTAAGTACTTAATGAACGTTTGTTGATTTGAATTCTATGCAAGTTTCTAGAATTCTAAGATTCATCTTATTTCTTTCTCCTCCAAGGCTGTTTCCTTTTTGTTTTTTTAATCTCAACCAAGTTTTCTCACATCTTGGAAGTAGTACCTAACAGTCCTACTACTGGGGAATTTCCTCAGTTATCTAGGCATTTAATTACTTATAAGGGCGGCTTAAAATAAACCTCAAAACTAGGAGCCATTAATCACTGTGATTTTCATAGAAAGCAATACAGTCATCACTGCTGAGCTATAGGGTAATTAGCCAAAGATTAATGATTGTTCCTCCTCCTTTTCCACCATTATACTTTCTTTGTTTCCTTTCCTCCTTTGCCCAGGAACTTTCCTTTCTTCCTAGTCAGAAGTTGGGACTGTATCAGGATCAGAAGGGCAGTGGCATGGCACACAAAGGCTCATCTGGGAGCTAGGCTGTTTGTGGTATCATTTCAGGACCTTGGGCAGGAATGACTTGTTTAAAGTCTTGTTTTAAGAAAGTGAACTTTGGAGCTATTTCTCCAATGTGTGCTTACTAACATGGCTGTTCATCTCTTCCCCAGAAAAAATTGCCTGTGTCATCCCCTCAGAATGTGAGAAATATTGCGGCACTCCAGTTGGCTGTACCAACATCGCCTACCCAACCTTGGTGGTGGAACTCATGCCTGATGGTGAGAGTCTTTTCTGGGAGGCTGGAGGGATTTTCTTTCAGGAGGCTGATTGGATTTAGGCTCTTTCTGAATTTCTGGGTGCCTTCTGAAATTAAGCTCGCTCCTTCCTTCCTTCCTTCCTTCTTTCTTTTTTGGAGACAAGGTCTCTCTATGTAGCCCAGGCTGGCCTTGAACTAACCCATGGCAATCCTTCTGCCTCGGCCTCCCGAGTGCTGGGATTACAGACGTGCAGCACCACAGCAGGCTAGCTAAGCCATTTCTAAGCCTAAGCATTCCGTCAGGAAATCCTTGTTCTTGTGTTTTCAGGTTTTGAGCATGACTTCAAAATATATGGCTTGGTTGCAGTCTGAGTTCTGGGACTTGCCCATCAGTCAGGCTTGGAAAGGAGATGATCTAAAAACTTATTGGGGAAGAACACGACATTTTTCTGCCCATTTAGAAGATCTTTCAAAGCTCTTCAACAGAGGGAATATAAATTAGTACAGCATGTATGGAAAAGCAGTATGTAGTTTCCTGAAAAAAAAGACCCCTAGCAATCTCACTACTGAGTATATATCCAAAAGAAATGAATCAGTATATTGATGCAGTCCCATATTCATTGCAGCATTATTCACAATACTTGAGATATAAAATCAACCTAAGCTGCTCATCAACAATTGAATAAAGGGACTATTATATATATGTATATATATTTATATGTATATGAATAGTATTCATTTTATAAAAGAAGAAAATCCTATCATTTATGACAGCATGGATGAACCTGGAGGACAATGTGTTAAGTGAAATGAGCAAGAGAGAGAAAGATAAATACTTCATGATCTCACCTAAATGTAAAATCTAAACAAGTCAAATTCATAGAAGCACACAATAAAATAGTGGTTAGTAGGGGTTGGGACAAAGGGAAATCTGAATTTTGGAGGTCTTTGTTGAAGGATGCAAAATTTCAGTTAGGAGGAATAAGTTCAAGGGATCTATTGTACAACATGGTGACTTATAGTCAGTAACAGTGTGTTGTATATACTTGAATATTGCTGAGTAGATTTTAAATGTTCTTTACCACAAAATAATAAGTATGTGAGGCAATAGATATGTTAATTATCCATTTTGCTAAATGTATGCATATTTCAAAATATCACATTATACATAATAAATACATGCAATTTCTGTCAATTAAAATAAGCTGTATAAAGCTGTCCAACATATATTAATATAAAAGCTAATGAACGTTGGTCCAAGGGAGTTTTACTTGGAAAACGAATTAGTGCTAGACTGTTCCAAGGAAATTCATGAAGTAAAAGGTAAGCTTTTTGTTCTAGAAGGAAGAAGTTAGAAGCTGTGGATTGATAAAATTCAAAGGGGCTTCACACCATAAAGAATATGTTGTCCTTGGAAATTGGATACTTAACTCTGAGTCTGGAATAGCTAGAGTTTGGGGTTGACTGCTGGGTTTGGAGTTCGTGTTTTACACTGCAGGGAAAAAAAATCTCTTAATTCTAGCTTAAGGGCTGCAAACCAGCAAAACTTAGGTGGAAGATCTCAAGAGATAAAAAATTCACAAATATTAACCACATCATCGGGTCAAACCCCCTCATTTTACAAAGGCCTAAAAGGGGAAGTGACTTTTTCAAGGTCACACAGCAACCCATTCTGCCATCTGGCTTGCTTAACTCTCTTGAAGGTGGGGATTGAGGAATTTGGGAGAGTCTATTTATCCCACAGACTTCATACATGATGTTGTGCAAACCATTTGCATTCAAATTATACAAAATGGGAGTAATAGTTAACTATTCTGAGCTGGGCTGCTTATTAATTAAGGTTGTGGTTAGCAAGAGTCACAGTGGCTTTTCTAGAGTTCTGACATGGATTATACTAGTCTCTGTAGAGGTGTTTATATTATATCTTTCGGTTGGTACAACAGTGAGGACAATAGTAGCATACTAGACTATAGTGGCACTTTGTACCAAAGATGGATGCAGCATGCAGAAAACCAAATGCTGTGTTTGAATGTGCCATCTCCATTTTCTTTCCTTTGGGTGTACTCTGGTTTCTGTAATTCTGAACAGAATGACCTCCCTGTAGCTGGACTGAATAGTTTCCATTCATCATCATGAAATCTCAGTAGCGTTCAGCATTATTGATCACTCTTCTTTCCTTTGGTTCATAATATTTTACTCTCCTATTTTCTTCCCTTTTTCCATCTTCTTTTTGTACCATTTGCAGATTCAGCCTTCTCATCCAGTAAATGCTCTCTCACTAATCCACATTAAATTCTATCTTCTAAATAGCTCTTACACTCATCTTCCTATCTCTATTTATTCTTCTGTTACCCTAGTCTGATACACCATTATTTCTTGCCTGGGCTGCTATAAAATTAGGTTCAATGAATATTTGTTGAGTAAATAAGTGAGAGAGGGCTTGATAAGAGTGTAGAAAAGTGGTGGTGGTGCTGGGTTTCTATTCCAATTCTATTTCAGCAATGAAATGAATTGAAGGCCCTATGTACTATTTCAAATGGACTTTTTTATCAACTAAAAATCAGAAAGTTAGACTAGGTGATCTTTATAACTTCTTCCGTAGCTCCAGTAGTCTGTGATCTACATTAAACAAACTCAAGAGGAGCTGTCACTAGGTGAGTTCCAAGGAGGTTCTCTGAAAAGAGATGGGGACCTCAATTCACCCTGGGTAGGTTTGCAATTCTTGTCACAGAAAACCATTTTGGGGTGTGTCAGTGATGGGCACAGCAGATTTATTAGGCAGAGTTAGAAAGTAAGAGAAAATAGGGAATGGTCTTCAATGGAGGAGCTTCAGTGAGGAGCTGAAAAGGGCACAACTCTGACAGAGAGGATCGGCCCATTAACAAAAGAGTGAGACCAGCCTTTGTGGATTAACTGAGGTGGGCAAGGATCCCTTTGATTATTATCTTGTTCTGGTTTGGTAAAATGGCTTTGGGAGAAATCCTTATTGTATGAGGGGACGATTTGTTCTCTATGATCGTTTCTTCAGGGGGCAGTCTCCATCTTGTGGAGGATCTGCTGGAATCCAAGGTGACTATAAGCTTAGGGTAACAGCTGCTCATTGGTAGTTGAATGTTCCTGTAAATCTCTTATTTTAGTGTCCTCAATCTTGAAGAGAGATGAGATAGATTATACAAATTCAGGGCTAATCAACCTTGTTTTGTCAAATTAGATACTCAAAAATGATTAATATGCTTATATGGAGAGGTAAGAAGGAAATGGACACAAAGTTTTAAGGTAATACAGGATATAAAATGAAGGTCAAGCTTTTGTGCTGATTTTAGTTACTGGACATCTATCGGCCCAAATAAAGAGTAATTTTTTAAAAGCCAAACTGCTTTAAAATTCTGTCTGTTTCAGAAGGAAACACAAATCATGCTTCTAATGAATAACAGGTTAAGGGTCTAGGAATTGGAGCTTGTTTGTCCTCTGTTCCTATAGTGGTTTCTGTGTCAGAACCATTTCAAAAACCCCAATAAATGGCAAGATAATTGGATAGGCAGCATATGGTAGATGAATACATAAAATTATTTGTAGATACAAACCCGAAGGAGTGACAGAATTATGTTCCAAAATGATCTTAAGAGCCATGACTCTTGATTCATATCTAATAAGCTGAAGTTTAATAGAGATATGCATCAAGCATATCTTAACATATTTGGGTCCCCCAAACCCAATTATATAGGAATATTGGAAGAAACTGAGGATATTTAGCTTAAAGAAGAAAGACTTAAAGAGGACATGAGTTGTCTTTGAATATATTCAAGATAGTAAGGTACATGAAGGATAGGACTTCTCCCATTGAATAGTAGAGAGGCAGATATCAGCCTGGTTAGAACAGTTTAAGAGGGTGCGGGCTTTCTGTGGGATAGCAGATCTCCTATTGCTGGAGGGTTTGGGCAGAAGAAGTCTTGTGAAAGGGGTTCATATGATGATAGGCCTACATAACCTGTAAGGTTTTTACTTGTGAGATTGTAAATCTGTAATCTGATGGTGGGTCCTCACTTTGAGCTGGCCTTCCAAACCTTAGCAAGTACAACCTTATGCCTTTCTTGCCTTCCTTAGAAAGAATAACAGAGATTACAGCCAATCATCCTTGCTATGACTTGGAAAACTAAAAATAACAATTCCTTATTTTGATTTGGGCAGGTGTATTATCTCTATTGAGCATGTTAAGAAGTGAGGCCTTGAAGTTGGAATAACTTGATTAGGGCCAGAGCTTTGTCTTCTTTTAATAAGTTGTTGGACTGTAATCCACATATCATACACTTCACCCTTTTAGGGTATATAATTCCGTGGCTTTTAGTATATTCATAGAGTTATATGATCACCACACAATCAATTTTAGAAAATATTCATCACTCCATAAAGAAATCCTATACTTGCTAAAGAAATGAACAGTCACTCTGTTTTACCCTAACCTCTTGGCCCTAGGCAACCACTAATATATTTTCTGTTTATAAATTTGCTTATTTGGGACATCTCACACAAAAAGAATCATAATAATAAATAATTCTTTGTGACTTCTTTCACTTAGCATAGTATTTTCAAAATTCATCTGAATTGTATCATGTATTTGTATCACATTTCTTTTGGTTAATGAATATATTCCATTGTATGATAATCTCTTCAATAGCTTTTATTCATTTTGTTCATCCATTGATCAGTTGTAATGCTGCCATGAACAATGACTGTGTAGAAATATATTTTTATTTCTCTTGGTTAGATACCTAGAGTGGAACTGATGGGTCATGTGGTAACTCTGTACTTAATTGTTTGAAGAATAGCTAGACATTTTTCCAGAGTGGCTTACCATTTTGCATTTCTTCCAGAAATGTGAGAGGTCCCTATTTCTCTACTTATGCTTTATTATCTGTTTAAAAAAAATTATAACCATCATAGCTGGTTTGAAATATTGATCACTGTGATTTTCTTTAGAATTTCCTCAATGTCAAGCATCTTTTCATATCATTATTGACCATTTCCATATCTTTGGAGAAATGGCTATTCAGATCCTTTGTGATTTTTCATCAGGTTGTTTGACTTCTTATTACTGAGTTATAGGAGTTCCTTGTATGATCTGTGTATTATAGGCTTACCAGATTATATAATTTGTACATATTTTCTCCCATTCTATGACTGTCATTTCACTTTCTTCAGAATCTCGTATTTTGGATCCTAGTTTAAATATCTTTCAACTGTACCATGAATATTTTGGTGAGTGTTCTTATAAAAATCTCCTCAAATGGAGACATACACTACCACCATCACCACCATCATCATTCAAATTATTTACTTCATAGGTGTTTTGTCTCTACTACTTTGTTGTCTTCTGTGGGATTACAATATAATTTAAGGCCACAATCCATTTCTCAAAACAGCCACTCTTTCTGGAGAGATAAGTTGGAGAACATGGCATGGTTTCAGAAAGCCAACAAACCTTGAGCTCTTCCACAAAAGAATCCAGGCGTTGGATGTGCCACTCAGAAACTCCTTTTTTTCCAGGGCTTCGAGGCCTGATGCTGTCAGTCATGATGGCCTCTCTCATGAGCTCCCTGACCTCCATCTTCAACAGCGCCAGCACCCTCTTCACCATGGATATCTACACCAAGATTCGGAAGAGAGCATCTGAGAAAGAGCTCATGATTGCAGGAAGGTAAATGCAGCTTTTCAGTGCTATGTACTATTGAAGCTTGAATGATTAGGGAGATTCCATTCCCACAAGCCAGGGAAGATTTGGTAGATGGCTGGTTGGTATAATTGGAATAATCTCTTTGTCTAGTTACATTTGCCTCTCAGTGACATTAAACTTTTTTGTGTGTTGTACTTGGGACTGAGCCCAGGGCCTTTGCACTGAGCTACATACCCAGCCCTTTTATGTTTTTTAAAATTTTGAGACAGGGTCTTACTAAGTTGCCAAGGCTGGGCTTGAACTTGAACTTGAAGTCCTCCAGCATCACTCTCCCAGACATTTAGGCTTAAATTGGAGATCATTAAATAATGCCCGACTGTAGTTAGAAGGAACTAACATCATCTGATATAACTTGCAGGCTACCAGCAAGCTAAAATGAGGCTCATCCTCCCTAAACCCAGACAGTCTGTGCAGTGGCAGAGCCAGGACTAGAGTCTGTGGCTTATTAACTCATTGTCCACGACCCCTTAGACTCCCTTCTGTTGCCTTCTTAGCCCTCCACACTGTACTTCTCCACACTGGCTGTCATCGAGGCCCAAATGCCTCTGATTTCCCAACCTCTTGATGAGACATTTTTACACTGTCCATTGTGAAGCATAAATGAGATTTCAATTGTGAATATGCAAGGCTTTGGGTACATTTTGGATTGTCAAATGGGTTAATAAACACAACAGCATATTGAATATATTAGTGTTGACAGATGGATCAGGTGTGCTCAGGATTGCAATTATCCACTGAGCAGGTGCTCTGGATGATGGATTAACAAAAATTCTGCTATGTCTCTCCATGGGACAAAGGCAAGTCAACCTTCTCAGGGCAGGTAGAATGTTATTGGAGGCTGATCAGACCTCCAATCACCTGACCAAGGGTGTGGTGGATGGATCAAAAAAGACAAGATAAGATCTTAACGCATAAATGGGGGGCTGAGGACAGTCAAAGCTTGTATCTGGCTAAGACACCATCTCCTGGAGTTTGCCACTATTTATTGATCATGCAGCTTCTAGAAGGGGTAAGGGGCAGTGTAGGGAACTATGAAGTGGAGAGCACTGATGTGAGCAGGGTCCTAGCAACAAGGAAACAAGATATTCTAGTAGGAAAAGATCATTGATAAATGGAAATTTGTTTCTTCCCATGGATTAATTTTTGCCTCTATAGGAGTTTTCTGTACGAGTCATGCTGCCCTTAGCTGCACTATTGTCTTGCCATCCAAGATGTCACGGCGTCATGGATCATTGAGACGTTTGCTGTAACCAGTGGTGTGGGGAGTTGTTCCTTTCCCACACACCAACTGCTGGCTCTTCAGGCGAGCCATTGTGGGCTAATAGGCAGACTCAGACTTTGAATATGAAAAGCCAGTTTATAAATTTGTAGCTTGCTTAGGGTGGTCTCCATCAAAATGTGTCCCTGGGAAGCTAGTCAAAGGAAAGATTCCCAGTGATTGGAGGAGGGATGTGGGCTGTCACCTCATGGATGACAAGATTAGGGAGAAGCAAGGAAAGAAATATGGCAGGCTACTTTCAGGTGACAAGACATTTGGTACCCAGGGAAGATCTGACCATCTGAGAATCAAGTACTGTGTACCAGCAGAAGCACAGGACTGTTGCCTTAACTAGTTTTTCCCTTGAAAGTTACTTACTGGCTTTACCTGTTATTTGTAAGGCTTAGGTATGAAATAAGAAAGAAAAGCATTTTGTTGCTTTTCACAGATCTGCATCCCTTGGCTCTAAGACTATGTTGGGTTGTCTCAGACTTTTGTCCTGGGAACTATCTTAGCCCTAGACAAGCACACAGGGATATGAAACACTTTCAAACTCTACTGTATGGACTGTAAGTGCAATTGGGGATTTAGATATGGGAGAGGTGAGCATGGTATGGCATAATTGAGAAGGGCCCTGGGGGAGGGAGAATCTGAACTGAGTTCAAAATAATGGGTAGGATTTGGGTAAATAGGGGCCAATTGGAAGGGCACTGTAGAGGGAGAAGTATATAAAAATACTGCTCTGTGAAGGGCAGTTTAAGACTCATTTGTCTGAAATACACGAGGCATGGGAATCACAGCTTTTTTGTAATTAAATCAAGAACACAAGTAGTAAGAGAATCTCTAGTCTTTTTAGGCCATAACAAGAGCCAGAAATATCTGGTAGTGCCCCTTCCTATTTAGACTGTTCCCTTATAAAGTATTCTTATCTGGTTCTTTTAACTTTATTATGAGGAAGAAGGAGGAGAAAAAGATAATAATAGTTTTTGTTATTTTTATTGAGTACCTACTATTTGTGAGGTGTTTTACTCTCACTATGCCTATTCCAATTTTGCAAGGTCAGTCATGTCATATTATTCTCAGTTTACAACTGGAAAACTTGAGCTCCAGAGAGAGGTGAAGCAATGTGCTCCATATCACACAGAGATAATAAGAATTTGAATTCAGGACTGTCATGCTCCAAAGTCTATGCCCTTGTTCCTATACTCTACTGCTTCTTGAAGTGGGATTTTGCATGATAGTGACAGTACTGAGGTGACTATTGAAAGTCAAGTGTGTTTCCCTTTTGTGACAAAGTTGTACTCCATTGTGTGTAAATACCACATATTCTTTATCCATTCATCCATTGATGGACATTTTAAGTGAAATAAATAAGACATATACGATTAAATATCACATGGTTTCTCTTATATGAGAAACCCAAAATGTAAATAAGGAGGAAAATAAAAGATAGGTAATGGGGAGTGGGGAGACGGAGCTTTTGCAAAAGGGAAGGGGACCAAGAGATGGGGGGAGCAGGAAAGGGAAGGAAAGAGGGGTATAAAAGGGTTAAGATGCGTTATGCACCTGTACCAGCTCCCCACAAGGAAAGTGATCATTATGAAGTACAGACATGTACCAGTAGAGATAGAAATTTAACAGCAGCAACAGCAGGAACAACACAAAGAAAGCGACGAGATAAGTGTCTGGGGTGGGGGAAGGAGCCGGTCAAGTGTGTACCCATAGGCATAGACAGAAAAGGGAGGAAAAAAGTCTCAAGACTCAGTTTGTTTGGAGTTTTTCCTTGCTGTTCACATATTACATATGTATATATTTGTATAGAAACATAAATGTGTCTGTATATTTGCTAATGATGTGTTTGGTTTCAGGTTGTTCATCCTGTTGCTGATTGGCATCAGCATCGCCTGGGTGCCCATCGTGCAGTCAGCGCAAAGTGGGCAGCTCTTTGATTACATCCAGTCCATCACCAGTTACTTGGGACCCCCCATTGCAGCAGTCTTCCTGCTTGGTATTTTCTGCAAGAGAGTCAATGAGCCAGTAGGTATCATTCTGGCATGTTCAGCAAAGCCAGGCTGACACAGAGGTTTCTATGAGATTGCAAAGTGATCCTCAGGATTAGTCAGGCCCTGTGTTCGCTGAGGGACAACTCAAAGTCTTGAAGAAAATGTCAAATGCTATGAATTTTTCAAGAGCCTCTTGAGGATAAAGAATAAAGAGCAGAAAGAGGTTAATTGTCAAAACAGAAATAAAGCCTTAGCAAATTCTATCAGTGTCATACCTACCAACTAAAATCAAGAAATATTTTTTTGAAGGAATAAATGTATGGAGGCTGTATGGGGAACTTATTTTCCTTTTATTTTATCACTTATTCATCTAATAAATATTTCCAGATGCCAGTCATCGGGCTAGAACTAGAAACACAAAATGAGTGAAAATTGGTTCTTTCCTTGGACAAGCTCTCAGTTCAGATGGGAATACAGAAAGTAAATGTGTAATTACATAGTAGTGAGTTGGTACTGATATGGAGTTGTGTCCACATTGCTGTGGCCAAAGAAAGCAGGCCTACCTATTCAGTGTTTTCTAGCTTGCTTCACTTGAAGTTAGAAAAAAGTTTTCAGGAAGGAAAGAGTCAGTATTCTCCTGTACAGAGAGAATGACTTGGACAAAGACCCTGGATCACAAACATACATGACGTGTCTAAAGAATACCTGGTAACTTAGCACACTTGGAATAAAAGTATAGGAATAGTAATGGCTAGTAAAGAGGCAGACAAACACTTATCACGGAGACTCTTTTTGACCATTTTTCTTAGTGCACAGTCTAATTTGTCACCGACCTAAATGTGGCCTTTAGAAGTAGACATGGTCCTTTAGGTGCAGACTAACCAAAAGGAAAGAAAGCAAACAAAGGACAGGAAAGGAAGAGGAGGGAAATAATAAGAGAAGGAAGGGAGAAAAGGAAGGAGAGAAGAAAGATGGGAAGGAAGAAGGGAAGAAAGAAAAGTATTAAAAATTCTTGAAAAATAGTCCCCTAATATTTCTATTCTCTTAAAGACTTCTGTGTTTCTCATATATAAATCCAAAATTTAATGTCAAAACACATGGTATAATTTTATGCTCCCAAACCAAGCAAGATGACTTTGGATCTAGATAGAGGGGAGAAGAAGGAAGTGTTTGTTGTGTATATTTTTATGGGAAAGTTCCTTTTTCTTTTATCCCCCAATGACTTAATTTCTTATTCCATGTCTTCATGGAAGGCAAATTATTTTACAAGTAATTATTTTATGTCTGAATATGCCTAAATCGAGTTTGGTAGTGGTAGCAGCTTCAAGGGGAGAGATTCAAATTGTTTTTTAAGTTAAAAGGAATTGTTAAAATTAAGGCTTAGGGCCAACATGCTATACCAGTTATTAGATACATATTATATTCTGAAACGTTGATTTATAATCCAGTACCCAAAGCTTGACTTAGTCCTGAACTCCAGTGTTCTGGCTTAAGAAGCCTGGGGCTACCATTTTTCTTACTTGTAATCCTTTCCCTCTGTTCACCCCCTCGAATGTTAGAGTGCCCAGCTGTTTAGGGAATTCTGCATTTGTTAACCCAGAATTTTCTTTCACAGGGAGCCTTTTGGGGACTGATCCTAGGATTTCTAATTGGGCTTTCCCGTATGATTACTGAGTTTGCCTATGGAACTGGGAGCTGCATGGAGCCCAGCAATTGTCCCCCAATTATCTGTGGGGTACACTATTTATATTTTGCCATCATCCTCTTTGTTATTTCTATCATCACCATCCTGGTCATCTCCTTCCTCACCAAGCCCATTCCAGATGTGCACGTGAGTATCTGTTTGGAAGGCCTTTCCTGTCTTTATGTCCCATTCATACTGTAATACTCTTGGTTGGCCTTGGCTCCTTTAGACATTTCATACTTATATGACTAACATAGGGCATGCTTGCCATTGGCTTCATACAGTTGGATACAGGACAGGAAACACAGTACACAAACGAGGCAGTAAGAAGCGTGTGTCTTCAACAGGAGTCCTCAAAGCCCATTCTTTAATATAAAGATTCTTCTCTGCATCCCTAGTGACAGCTTAGGTGCAAGGGAAATGAAATCACATGACCAGACACAGGGCTACCTTGGCTTAGAAACCCATGTTCAAAATAGGAGCTAGTATTTATTATAACAGTCCCAGGGTCAAAGCTTCTGGAGCTCCCAGTAAGGGACATACCTACCTATAAAAAGCATGGCACTCAGGGAAACCTGGTGTGTGGTTTGCGTCTTAATTTTTTCCACTTAAGCCACCAAATAGTTGTTTTTAGGATTTAAGATATTTCTAACAATATGTTTTGGTCTTTTTTCTGCTTCTGTAATGCAATACAATACAACACAATGGAACACTATACAATACATTACAATATAATACAATACAATATAGTACCACAGAGTGAATAAATTATAAATAATAAGAGTTGATTTGGCTCAAGTTCTGGAGTCTGGGAAGCCCAAGATTGAGGAGCTGCATTTTGTGACAGGCTTCTCACAAAATGATAGCACGGTAAAAAGTATTGTATGGTAAGAAAGAATGAGGGAGAGAGGGAGGGAGACACACACACACACACACACACACACACACACACACACAGAAGGAAAGGAGAGGAAAGGGATGGGGAGAGAGACCAAATTTCACCCTTTTATCAGAAAAATGCTACCATGATAATGGTATTAATCTATTCATGAGGGCTGACAATCTAATTATCTCAATACTGTCATAATAGCAATTAAATTTCAACATGAGTTTTGAAGGAGGCATTTTACCTGTAGTACAATATCAATGTCCAATTGATTTAATACTTCAAAAATTGCAAGTATACTTCTTTAGCTCTAGATGTCCCCAGTTGGTTTAGGTATTTTTATAGCCTTACCAATCCAGTTAAAGATTATCAGTTATGTGCCTATTTTACCTTAAGCAGTATAGTCTTGTAACTCAACACAGATGACATTTCCCTTTTTTCAGATTTCCAAGGAAACAGCTATAAAATTAACTCAAGGTCATATTTATCCATAGAGAAAGAGAAAAAGGTTTCGGTTAACACTTTATTCATGCAAACACAAATACAAAGAGCCTATGAAATCCTTAAGAGATATTCAACTTCACTATCAAATTTTCAAGACCTGTGACAAATCTTAATGTCAAATAAAACTGCCTTTGTAGCTACAGAATCACTATCACGTCAGCTGAATGGACCTGTCACTGTCTGTGTTGTATCAGCTTCCTCACATCTCAGTCTTTGAAAGTATTAGAGCTCCAAACACACTGAGCTCTATGCTTCCTCTTGAAGCAGAGTAAGCAAGGTGGTCACTGAAGGGCACGACTGTTATGAACAGATTTCACTGATTTTCAGACTTCAAGCTTCTGGTTTATACTGTACATTATGTCAATAGAAACTGTGCCTCCTACTCTACCCTTTTCTAATATGACTCATG